TCCAGAAGGAGATATAAATTAGGGAACTGGAAAAACAAGCTCATCTTGTGTCCATATGAATGAAAAGCTATACACTAGTCCCTAATATCCTCCAAACACCTTTAAGGGTGTTCTAATCTGTGATCCCTAATATCCTCCAAACACCTTCAAGGGTGTTCTAATCTGTGATATTTTTCAATTTTTATATCTACTCGGGTACAAGCCCTTAGGTGGACTGGCACCACCTTCTGACCACAACTCTTGCCTGCTTTTTCTCAAATACCTTTTTGTTTTCCATCTATATAGGTAATTTGGGATTACTAGGCAAGTTATTCAGTTCTAATCTTCTCCCGTCAAAAGCCTCAACAACCAGAGGTGAAGATTTCACCTTGACAGGTATAGCATGTTTTTTTAACAAAATACATGACAATGAAGTTACCTGCCATACCTTAGTCTACCGGGGCTTTGCATGAAAAGTTTTTCTTGTTGCAAAGGGTGACAATGTCAAGGATAAATCTACTTTGCTTATTACTAGAGGACATATCCATGACACCTAAGACCTGTCCCTTTAAGGTTCTTAGGTGCAGAAGTTTTCCAGGTGTATAGGACAAGTCTCTCATATGTCCCTTTTTGGAACAATATAAGCATAGACCCTCTCTTCTCCTATACTGTTTCTCTGCCTCTGACAATCTCGTATCCCCTAGTTGCATAGGTTCGGATTCAGGTTGCATCTGGAGGTCAGGGACAACAGGTTTGGAGAATCGAGGTGCTAGTGACAAGGTCATATGTCTGTTTCTGCTTCTAGTAATTTCTCTTGTCCTAAGTCTATTATCAATCTGCATCACAAAGGTAATACATTTGTTTATATTTTTCAGTAGATCTTTGGCAGTAATTTCGTCAAGTATATTTTCGGATAATCCTTTTTTAAAAGCAGCGGTTAATCCATTGTTAGTACAGTCTACCTCAGAAGCCAAGGTGCGAAATTCGATGGCATAATCTGAGATAGACCGGTTCCCTTGTTTGATATGCATTAAAGCAGTGGAGGCATCATCCTCCCTGCCTATTGGTTCAAACGTTAATTTGAATTCCACAAGGAATACTTGGTAATTATAAGAAATACTCCTATTACTCTCCCATAATGAACTGGCCCATGTTAAGGCCTTACCCTACCCCAGTGGAAGTCATGCCCTCTAATCCTGACATCATCAGGAGAGGCCAGCCGACTCCACTGATTGCAGGCTGCAGGGAGAGTGAGGTAAGTTGAAAAATCAGTCCTCGGCCAGAGGCAGGGGATTCAGATTTTTCCTTTTTTTGCTGGGTGCGGGCAGCCCTGGGTTTAGGGCAGCCTGGGGGACAATTGCCTCCCTGCCCCCCTTCCCAGCCAGCCCCTGCTTGCAGATGTCTGGAATTCCAATCTGCTACGATGTTGGATAAACCCGGAAGGTATTCCGCTTGTACAGATATGTTGTGATCCAGGCAGAAGTGCCAAAACTCTTTTGCTAGGTTCATTAATATTGTGGATCTCGTGCCACCCAGATGGTTGATGTAGCGCACTGCCGAGACATTGTCCATGTGAAGTAGGATGGAACAATTGGCTGTGTCTCTGAGGAGGCTCCAAAGGGGAAACGACCACTCCAGGAGTTCCAGACCATTGATATGAAGCTCCTTTTCCTGTGAGGGCCATTTTCCACCTGTAGAGGTGGGACCACAATGCACACCTCAGCCGAGCCTGCTCGCATCGGATTCTATGATGAAATCCGGGGTGGTACTGAAGATTGCCCTGCCATTCCATGCTTCCATGGCTTGAAGCCATCAGGCGAGTTCTTCTTTTGCTGTGCAATTGAGTGGAACAGAACTGGAGGCATTGGAAGCGCCACATAGTCTTTTCCAATTTCAACTGAAGGAGGTGTTGACACTTTTTGGCATTCGGAATCGTGAGGTACGCGTCCTGGAGCTCGAGTCTGAGGAGGTCCTGAAGGCAATGTACCCCTTTGTGACGATACCAATCTCGCCACATTGCATTGGAGAAGCCTGGTTGCTCGCCTGTTGCCTTTGGATTATGGCCCCATGTTAAAAGGCTTGATTTTCCGCCGCAAAGGCATGAAAGCCGGGTCATTTGGTGCTTGCCCTGTTTGAGCGGCGATACCCCCGATAGCTATGCAATGGAGCCCATTCGTATAATGAAAGACTATGGGAAAGACTTTGGCTCCATGGCAATTGAACTGCATGTGTGCGCTCAGATCTTAGCGATCTGGGGATATGTTGAATGTACCTGTGCAATGGCTGCACAGTTATATGTTTTTATGTGTTTTATTGTCTGTTGCTGCCATGTGTTCAATGGAGTTTTGCCTCTGTCCTTGGAGATAATTGGATTACTTCCCAATTATCTCCAGGATAGAAGACTCTGTGGAACTGGTTTTGGGCAGAAAAGCCATGCTTCCTTTGGTCACAAAGGACTACGATCTATCTTTTAAAACCACTGGACCAATTTGTATGATTTTGACATATGTTTGTATTTGGAGTATGCTGATTCTGGAAATGTAATTTATATGTGAATGTGATGCATACTTTTCAAGTTATGAATAATGTGGAAAAATTGTATTTCTCTGCTTGTTATAATTACATTACCCATTGTGTAAGGTAATTGAATCACAGGCAGAGGGGAGGATTTTGTGTGGGAGTGTCTGAGTGTACTGTATGTGTTTATTGGTTGTGTTCCAAAACCCTGTGGGTGGTACTAATGTGTATATAAGAACAATAAAGCCACAGCTCTGTCTGTTCACAGCTTGACCCTTAACATGGTGCTTTGTCTCCTTCTTGGGGGGGGATTTATTGTATGCTGTTCCAGTTCGACTGCTAGGAGTGTAAACCTTTCATATGGTTTTTCCTATTCGGCTGTTTACGGCATTCATATGGTTTCCTGTTCGGCGGATTGATGTTCTGCAGTAGCTGTGCCTGTGTCTCTGGAAGGGAAGATCTACTAAACGGCTTTTAACCCCTTTTATGCCTGGGGGTGCCGTTACACCCTTCCATCTTGAAGTGATGGTATGTGACAAAGGCGTTGAGGGGTCTAAGAGTGATAACCGGTCTCATACCACCTCCTTTCTTGGGTACCAAGAAGATGTTGCTCAGGAAACTGGGAGTGGTAAATGGAACCTCATAGATGGCACCTTTTTCCTTTAACGTGTGAATCTCCTCTGATACTAGGCCTTTGTCTTGTGGGGAAAAAACAATCCGATGTAGTAGTGAGAATTGGATTGGTTGTTGTACAAATTCGATGTGATAGCCTAGAATGGAATCTAGGGCCCAAACATCTGATGTTAACTTGTGACATGCATTGATAAAATGGGATAGTCTGCCCCCCTATGACAGAGAAATGGTGTGTGATGGTTGTGACAGATTCATCTGTATTGCTGGTTCGTCTGTTTCCCTTTGTTCGCTGGATTTCCTGTTCGTATACCCCCGTTCGTGTAATTTGCAAACTACCGATTGAAACTACCGAACGAACGACCACCCAGGAGAGGAGTGTGCTGCTGGTTAACCTCTTGGCCCCAATTAGAACATTGTGGTTAACCGCAGACACCTCTCCATTCCATTCGTACGGGTGGTCGTCGTTCGCATGTCGACCACGAGGCAGCGGCCATTTTGGGACACACGAACGCATAGCGGTGTTCGGTACAAACTGTATGGAACTAAAAACGGACACTTAAACTACCGAACACCGCTGGAAGCTGATGCCCACCTTCTATTTCGACAAGGCATGCGAACGTCGGTCGTTCGGGAGTTTTTATGCATTCGTATGGACTTTTACCCAGACAGCCGTCCCATGGAGTCATTCGTATACCGAAGGACTGGTGCAAGACTTTGACTCCATGGCGATCCGACTAGATACATCGGATCTGAGCGCTATTCGGTGAAAATGTGCACTCAGATCCAGGCTGTCTGGGGATGCGTTACACGAACTATATTCATTCGGTATTTCTTCAGTTATGTATTTTAATGTATTTTTACTACTGTAATTTAAAATGGCGATTGTCTCTACCTTGGGAGATAATTAGGTTTCTTCCTAATTATCTCCGGGGTAGAGAAGACGGATTTATGGGTAAGATGGGAAGGGCTTATATTGAAGCCACTGCGATTGGCTACTGTCTAATATATTGTACAGTCTTCCACAAGGTCCCCTCGGGGAGTGTCCACCTTGTGGAGACCTGCATAAATACCGGGCAGGTAGCCCCCATTAAACAGATCATTATTTGACCCTCAAGACGGAGCTTGGTCTCGTTTGTGGGGGAATTATTACTGGGACAGCGCTTTCGTTATTTTTAGCTGTGGAAGGCGTTCGACTGTTTTGCTGATCGGGAGTTGCCGTGTTCGTGGACTTCGTTCGGGAGTTTGGCGGTCGGCTGGATATAAACTGCATTTCTGGAGAAGGGGATTATTTACTAAACGGCGGCTTCATCTACCTGGCGGTTCGTGTCTTAACAATGGTAAATAACTCACCATAAGGCTGACGGCCATAGGAGGATCCCCGTGTTCCATGGGGTTGCAACGACCTGCCCCTGGTCAGGAAGAAAGGTGACGGTACCCTGGGTTACGGATGTTGGAATCTAGATGTGGCGGAGCCCCGATAGCCCCTGTACGAACTCTGGGAAGAGCAGCCAGACAGAGGCCCCAGATGTCTGCCAGCCCCAGCGAAAACCTTCTGAGAGAACACATGTTTCATGTTCGTTTGTGCTTTGTCTAGTGCCGTGAAGGTACAAGACAAAGTTCTTTAACAAAATCATCTCCAAACAGGAGACATTTTGCCTGTATCCCAAGCTCTCAGATATTGCCAGATTGAGGAGTTTTGGCTCAGTTTTCATCAGGATAGCTTTACGCCATTCGGTACGATGTTAGCGTTGCCTATCAAGCATATGGAATGTTGGATCCATCCTCTGATGGCCAAAAGGTCTATTGGTGCTCCCTCAGTCAAGGCTGCTTCAAACAAGTCAAAGATCTTGGCTACAGGCCCTAACACAGGCCATGTCAGGATGTGGGCACTCCGCTCTAAATTTATTTCTCATGGCCTTATCTAGGGGTTTTCTAACTCTAGTTGAAATGTATTTAGCCACATGGTCAGTGGGGTACCATTCAGCTGAACAAGGGTTATGCTGGGCATATGGGTCTAAAAGGGGTTTCCCTTGAGGGCCTAAAATAGTGGAGTCATCCACCTCCCGCTCAGCTTCGATAGCTGGCGCCACAGTCACACTGCGTTCAGGAGATGAGTCGTCGCAGTAAACAGGGTCGATCAAATCGGATGTGTCAGAAACCTCCACTGAGTCCGAATCAGAGTCGGACGAAATAGACAGGGCGTTAGCCCTCTTCCAAGTCCCCATCGCTTTTGTCTGGTGGGTGGCTCTTTTACGTGGGAGCACCACGTCCTCAGTATCAATAGGGCGCAACCTGTCAGTAAAAGCATTTTTGGAGGTATTTTTACCCACATAATGGGATTTTTTCGTAGCCTTACTGCCACTAGTGACCATCAGCTTATTATCAGAGGCCGCAAGGAGTGCCGAGCCAGAGGCTAGACGGTATGATAGCCATAGAGATGGAGTGGGACAAGTTGTCCGACATCACTCCCATGGCAGTGTAAATGGCCTGGGTAACTGATTTGCTCATTGTAGCATCCAGGAGTGGTATGACCAGTGGACACAGTGGCTAGGTGGTGTCTACTGGGCTTAACAGAGGCATTGGGAGTAGCAGTCTGCATATCAGAAGGTTTCTGCATACTGGCACTAGACTAGCAAACGGGAACAGTCACCACTGTGGGTAGAAAGGAGTTAATCCTGACAGCAGGGGTATCTAGGGCTGATCAAGGGAGGAAGCACTGAGCCAGGTACTGAAGGGCAGAGCACAATAAAGGCTGCACAAACCTTTATGACTAGCTTACCGAGTGTTTCCTCAGGAATGGCCTCTGGGGAACACTGGTAAGCTGCCTGACAACCCAGGCAGCCAATCAGCTTGCACCCGCCCTTGAATGAGCGGTGTGAGTGTCACAGAAGCGCGGCAAAATTTGCCAATCACAATATGGCAGCCACAATGCGCGGGAGCGAACCGCGCATGCGCGGGCAGCAATGGAAACGGTTTAGGCCGCGATCTGGAGGGCAGCCAGGGAGACTCGCCCTTATGTAAAGGGTGGGAGAAACCTTGGAACCCTGAGGTCGTCCCGCAAACGGCTAACCCGGGTTCTAAACAACCCAAAGGGATAAGGGTTAGCCCCGGGAGAGGGATTGGGGAACCCTGTGAGAGAAACAAAACCAAGCAAAAAGGGTGCCTGTGCAAGAGGGCACACCCCAAATAGACAACCAAATAAAAACACAGAAAATTACAGTAGATTAGCCTTTAATAACAATACACAATCACAAATCTGCAGAGCAAGAAAATATGAGGTACTTAGCTGAGGCAGCAGCCAATAAAGAGGAGTGGCTTAGGGTCACATGGAAGTATATGGAATGAGGAGTGCTCCCATTGGCTGAATATGTTATATGGTTAACCCTTTAAGGGTATTTGTTTTTGTTTTCTATTAATATTCTTTCTTTGCTGCTGAGGAATAAAGAAAGACATAAAGCCTAATATGAGCCTCTGTGTCCTTTAATAAAATTTAATTGCTCAGACAAGATTAACTAATTTGCATAATCTTAGATAAGCTTTGCAAATTGTCAAATTTCATTTACACTGTAAGGATATCAAAAACAGTGTAAATTTTCCTAGTATACTAACTACCTTAAATAATATTTTGCAACCACATAAATCAATAAAGTGATGTTGCCTGGAAAACAGAAATACAGAATTCATAAAAAATAAACTTCAGTTACAAGTTTAGTAAAACTCCACTGAGACTTGCAGAAAAACACCCAGAGGTACATTAACATAAACTACCTAAAATAGAATATTGCATAGGGGAATTAGAAACCACCTTAAGGAATATCATTTAGCATGCAGTAGCAAATATAGTAACTTAATTTTAAGAATAATTTCACAAATAACACTGAGAACACTGTAAACCCAAATTAACTTATTTTTACTATATATTATTTGGTAGTTTCAGGAGTTATAATATGCTATAATTTTTAAGTCACATATAACAACCAATAACATTTAAAATAGATATAGTTTACTTTTTGTGTACCATCAAAAGAAAAGTATGATGCAATAAAAATGTGATTATAAAATATAAGATAATGTATTATAAAGCTGTGTAATTGGACACTCTTTCTGGACTTTGGATGCCAAGAGCGAATACGTTTTTTGTCTGCCTACTCAAAACATTTTGAAATTAAATGTTGGAAGATCATGCAAAATGTTTTAATGCAATTGACATATATTGTCAAACAATAACATTAAGAGAAGTATGTTCAGTTATACAATAAATATTTTTCTATGATATAGTTAATTATCCTTGAACATTTGTTGCTGTAAGGAGTGTATGACAAACATAACTGCAAACTGGAATATCATAGTTATGCAGTATTTTAATTCTATTTCTTCTCATAGATAATAGATATCTGAAATGTGACATGTGTAACTAATGCATTGTCTTTTTAAAGTGTATTACTATACCACTCTCTCTCATCTTGATCTATGACAATGTTAACATTGTGTGTTGATGATGTTTATACCATTAATTTATGTTTTGTTGATTACATGTAGAAAGTAATGACAGATAGTAGAGCATATTGACTTTGCAAGTGGAAGGACATGTTTATATCACATGTAGTGCTACTCATCATAATGTGATTCATGGAAAATATTTTATTTTTAGAAGCTTGATGTCCGCTATAAACATAGAAGCTCATTGAACAAAGTTTATAGGGTCCATGTTTATAGCGGACATCAAGAGATTGCCATGATATGGTTTTGATTGCCATGATAGTTTATGTAGAGGGTTCTTGTCTCACTGGATTTTAATTTGTCTCTGAAGTTACAAATTTACATAGCATTTGTGTGATTTATTTCTTACTCTGATCTTGCACTTTGAGGATAAAGCTATATATATAAATAGCCCCTTTAGTGTCCATTTATATATAATTGAAACCAAGAGAGAGAGAGAGGGGTGTGTGTGTGTGTGTGTGTGTTAGGAAAGTATCCAGCCATATAATATACAAATATAGACATTTATTGAAAAAGGTACAAGAAACATTGTAGTCTATGAACTGACTCATGTAAGGTTTTTCTGCTTTTGGCTCAATTTCATCTTATTTTGGATTATGCCTGGACTACCCCCCATACACAACCACCATTTCCTTTATTTTTATGGAAATCTAACATCTGGCACAGTGCTTTACAGGGCATTACAGACCTTGATGTCAGCTATACCTACAATGCTTGCTATGTTTTTAATTGTGTTGTAAACTTTTTAAAACTTAATACTTAAAAAATAAATAAATATATATATATATATATATATATATATATACACACAAAAAGATAAGTCCCGCGCTCACTCCCATCACTCCTGGGCGGCAGCAACGACCACAGTACACATCAGCCCCAATACATACAGTAAAAAGGAAAGAAAAGTTACCTGTGCTCTCTCCTAAATCCCTGTGTATATTTAAACAAATGGAGGTCTTTTAGTTACTCCAATGGCAACTTTGCTGCCACCCAGGAGTGATGGGAGTGAGTGCTTATCTTTTGGTATTTGTATTCACTTTTTGTATCACAGCTTTGTTACAATGCTGCCGCCCTTCCCATGTGTTCCCTATTAAGGGTTAATAAGTATATAGGGGTGTATATAAAAATACCCCTCTCTGTCTCATTAGAGATATCTTTGCCAGAAGCTCAAGGAAGCAAGGTGAAAGGTCAGTGTTGGACCCGCCTAGGGTTTTTATATTTGTATATATATATATATATATATATATATATATATATATATATATATATTTAGCATTTATATAGAAAGGCTTGTACTCACGGTCTTGGTTTTCTGATCGGATTTTAAAGAGATGAAATAAAGGAATCTTTTAAAGAAAACCTAGATCATGAGTGCAAGCCTTTCAATATTTGCATGATAATTGTGGCATTGGCATAAGTGCACCCGGCATTTTAAAAATTAAAAGTGTGTGTGCAAGGACAAATATATATATATATATATATATATATATATATATATAGTAACATATTAAATGACACTCAGTCTTTAAACATGTTTAGATTACTTACCATGTTATGGAAAGTTCCATTTTTAAAATATATAAGACCAGCATGATTATTACATTCTCTACTTCTACCATGGTACATTTCACTTACCCTATTTGTAATTGCTTTTTAGAACTTTTTTCTCAACAGTACTCATAACACTTTTCTTTTGTTGCAATCTTTGTGTGAGTGCATCTGTTTATTAAATATCCCTGATGTCGCATGGGTTTTCATTTATTTTTATTTGTTGATTTCTATTAGTAATAGGCCTCTGGTATCTCTTGCTTTATAATATAATTACAACAATTTTGACCACAAATGTACTAAATTAGTGCTGTAAGCTCTTTGCGGATTCATCTTCTTTGAGTGTAGTTACTATGTATTACATTCTGCCCTTACTGAAATTTATTTGAAGTGGACCTGCCTTTATAAAAAGCTTGTTTTCCAGATCATCAGTTCTGTAAAGTAGTGAATCATTTTGATCTTTAAGTTGTTTCAGTTATATGGACATGACAAAATAATGTGCTGGTCATTCTTGTAATTTTATTTCACTGGCTTTTGCACAAAGCAATTGATTTTTGAGGTCCAGAACTGTAACATCAAAGTTTGCAACAGTATAAACAAACAATAACAGAAACAAGCAATATCATATTTTGGTTAGTTCCCTTACTTAATTTTAGCTTTAAGATTTTTATGAAATAGTGTTGTCCAATGTTTGTCCTACATACCACCTGCAAACAACTCTGGGATAGAATCTCATAATAATGATAGTGTCTTAGTAACTATTGAATGCAGACTGGGGCCATAAAAACCTATGCTAAATATAAGGATTTTACAGCTATTAAATAATTAATATGTTATATAGAATATTAAGAGTTGGTTTTGTTATCTAAAATGCAAATTAAAGGGACAACTAAATAGTCAACTACTACAGCTTATTGCATTTGTTTTGTGAGTATAATCATTCCTGTGGCGAAACCAACCTCGCCACTGGGCATTGGAGAAGCCTGTTTGCCCGCCTTCTGCCTGCTGACTATGGCCACTGAGAGATTTGGCCCTTTTAATACAGTATTTGGGCATATTGTATTTTATTATGCTGCTGCTGGCCCTTTAAGAACCATCTGGGGACATACTGTGACTTTTGGGAACAATGCCCCTTTAAGACTATGGCCCTTGGAAGATATTACCTGTTAAAGAC